ATACCTCTTGTGCTTTGATTCTTTGGTAGATCTTTGATTCTTTTAATGAATTTATAATTGGAGACGAAGAGGCAGCGATTGGTTTTCCAGGTACGGCTTAATTGTTTTGTTTTTGGTTCTTTTGTTGATGAATTTTCCAGGTACGCCATTCGCGGATCGAATAACCACTGTCTTGGCGAAGGAAATCGAACCAGAATCCATTAGATTCGGAGAAGAAACTCGAATCAAGTCAGAGCCCAATTGTGATATCTATGTATTATACCATTTCCATTCCGTCTTGACTTCGTCTTTGATAGCTATAACTTCAGGAAAAAATAATTTGGGGGAAATTGAACCATCTATTTTTTTTTATACAAAGCTGATTTGATCACGTAACTAATCAATATCCGATCAACGTGATGTTTATTAAGCATATAGTACTCACCGAGTTTTACACATTGAACGGTTCAGATTATCGAAACGGGACCCGTGGCAAACCTTTACGAGCCCAACAATACCTTCCAGTCTGATCACGGGTTGGAAGGAAGCCAGCCCCTTTTTAAAAATTTTGTAGTTTGAAACCTTAAAGTTATAAAACACTATATTGGGTAAATTATTGCAAATTTCAATTTTTTGTTTAAGGTCAACAAGCTAGAAAAGCTCTTCAAACGGGTGGAGGGCATTAATTCAATCCTTGATATTGAGGATGGATGCACTGACTCGGCAGTGACTCTGTCGGACAGATTGAAGATTCCTCACATAGACCGGTTCGACGGCTCCGAGGATCCTATGTTCCATCTACAATTATTCTCTGACAACCTACGACTAGTGGGTCTCACCAGACTACAAAAGTTGTTGCTTTTCGACCGGACTCTGTTGGGTATAGCAGCCATTTGTTATGCCAAGCTTGAAGACTCTATGAAGAGAAACTGGGAGGAAATGGCAGAGGCCTTCATCGTTCAGTACTCCTATAGTACCCAGATTGAGGTCGTAACCCATGATCTCAAAGCTACCCGCCAGGAGCCGAAGGTGGGTTTCTCAGATTTTGTGACTTAGTGGAGGGCTAAGGCCTCTATGATGACTATTCGGCCGTCTGAAAAGGACCAAATCAGAATGGTGGTCCGTAACTTGCAAGGGAGATTATTACAGAAGATGATAGTCTTGGCTTTGTTTACATTTGCTGAGCTCCATGAAATAGGGGTTCAGATTGAGGACACGATGAAGCAGGGGTTGATAGACCATGAGAAGGAATAGCCCAAAAGGCCCTTTACACACAACTCCAATGCAGCCACGACTGGTGGCACCTCTGCACGGCCTTCGGATGTGAGCATGGTCACCCCTACACCCAAAACTGCCACCCCTTTTTCCGGTACATTCAATACAACTTGACAAACATCGAGCCATCAAGCCCAAAACCAAAGGGTCTTCACCCTGTTCTACATGACTTTGTCCAAAGCCTTAGGGGTCCTAATCAAAAGGGGCATCATAAGCCATTAGAACAACTCCCATTACCTAATTGTCTCCCTTTGAAACACAACTTGGCCAAATACTGTGCTTTTTACCAATAACATGGTCATGATACTGATCAGTGCTTTAGACTGCGCCATGAGATTCAAGATCTCATTGACAATAAGGTGATAGTGCCTCCCCAAAAGCCAAACGTCACTACAAATCCTCTCCTATCACATAGCCAAGTCTCTCCACCTCGGCATATAAACCTCATCCATACACTGGCCGTCCCTTATGTCCCCGATATATACATCACCCCTTCCCACCAACCTAAGTTGGTGTTGTTTATCCCTGAGAGCACGGACTTGTGTATGATGAACACATCTACACTCCAACCCAAACCAATGGTGGTGATAGTGGAAGATGAAGGGAGGTCAGCCTTGGTAGAGAATGTCAGTCCACTACCCAAGGGCTCTGAGGACTTATCTGATGGGGTGTACAACCTAAGCTGTTATATTGTGCCAATCAACCAAGATAAGCCAGAAGTGGTGTTACAGACTGGGAGGGAGGTTAGTGTCGTCCGAGAAGATGGACCAAGTTAGGGATTAGTTGATCTAGCCGACCTGGACAAGGATATAGACAATTTGGAGTTCTTTGATGAGCAAGATCAAGAAGACGTGTGCATTGATTGGTTTGATTTGAACGGGTCAACAAACAACTCTGGGTCGCTAAGTGATGAACCCAATATAGATGAGGGAACTGAATTGAAGCTGGAAGAACAGAAAGAGTGAACCGCTGCAATGGCCGGAATGAGGACCTGACGCTCCCTACACCTTTGGCGTCATAGGTTAGGGTAATCTAGGGAATTTTAGTTTATTTATTTAATTAATCATTCATTACATTTTGTATAATGTTAATATTATTTTTGTGCAGGTGACTTGGGACAAACTGTAGATTCCAATCGAACTCTAGAGCATTATATGTCGAACCCAATAAAAGGCCAAGCTATGCTATTTGCTGGTGATCTTTCATATGCTGATGATCACCCTAACCATGACAATACCAAGTGGGATACATTTGGTCGTTTCATTGAGAAGCGTTGCGTACCAACCCTGGATTTGGAGTGCAGGGAATCATGAAATTGACTTAGCTTCTAATTTGGTAAGACACCAAATAAATATGTTCTGTTCATTGTCACCGATCTCATTTCTCTGTCATAAATTATTTTGTGGATTATATCATCTTCTTTTTCGGGAAGAAACCGATCCTTTCAAGCCATATTTGCACCGCTATTATGTACCCTACAAGGCATCCCAGAGTACTTCCCCATTTTGGTATTCAATTAAGCGTGCATTGACATATATCATTGTTCTTTCTTCTTACTCAGCCTATGGTATGAATCTTCTTCTTTTTTTCATTTACTTTCATATTTTATACTTTTATTTTTTGTTTTGCTAACAAAATTTTATGGTTGTTTAGGGAAATATACCCCGCAATACAAATGGCTTGAACAAGAGCTCCCAAAGATTAACAGATATGAAACTCCATGGGTCATTGTTATTTTACATGCTCCATGGTACAATACCAACCACTACCATTACATGGAAGGAGAAAGTATGAGAGTCCAATTTGAATCGTTGTTTGTTCAGTACAAATTTGATATTGTATTTGCTGGCCATGTTCATTCTTATGAGCGTTCAGTAAGCTTTCTTTCTAATACAAAATTAGATAATTTATTTTCATATTGCTTACGAAAATTAATTTCTTATCCTATGTTGTAGGAACGCATATCAAATATTAAGTACAACATAACAAATGGATTAAGCTTACCGGTTAGAGATATTAATGCTCCAGTATACATAACAATCGGTGATGGTGGAAACATGGAAGGCATAGCTAACAAGTCAGACTGTTTAATTGTTTCTTAGGTCAACTGATTCTCATACTGAACTATTTTGTAAAATTGTCTACTTATAAAATTGACCTTTAATTTTGCAGATTTATATATCCACAACCAAATTATTCTGCATATCGTGAAGCAAGCTTTGGGCATGCAATTCGTGACATAAAAAATCGGACTCATGCTTATTATTGTTGGTAGCGTAATCAAGACAATGAACCCGTTGTAGCAGACTCTGCTTGGTTTTTTAATAGGTTCTTTTCTTATGGCGGATGAAGCCATTCCATGACAAGGAGACTTAGGAGATTGTGCCCTCAATTACAAGGAGGCTTAGATTTTTGTTTGGAGAGATTTTAGTTTGGATTTTTTATTTATTTATTTATTTTGGTAGGTTGTATTTGTTTTTGCCAGTGCTTTTTAAATAGGTTCAATAATGTTTAGTGTGTCCATTATGTTAGCCTTTTAATAAATGCGAAGTATTGTTTTTGGATATGCTTTTTGTCTAGATGCCTAATAATAACAGCCGATTAGATGACTTAATAGCAGAGCAATAAAATCAAATGGGACAAAATGTGTTAAGTTGACAACTTGAATGGCCAAATCGTTGGAAATTCAATTTGTATTAAACCACCCACGTTCAATTTTTCTTAAACTGGCCATAGTTGACTCAAGTTTAACATTTTGGATTGTAATCTGCTAAAATTTTATATTGATTTATTATGGTGTTTTGATGATTTATGTTAATTAGAGGTTAATTTGAATATCATGTTTCATCTATCTTTTTAGTGTTATTTTAGATTGTTTATGGGTCAATTTATAATTTATTAAATAGTATTGGAATTATAATTATATTTTAATCTTAACATTATTTACACCGTGCATTATAATGTATAAAATTTTATACATTATGTGATTAAAAAATATTTAGATAAAATAATGTATAACATTATCATAAAAATACATAATATTAATACAAAATATATAACTTTATTTTTGAATGACAAATTATCATAATTCTTACCAAAACGTATATAACAGTTATCATAAAATACATAATATTTATCAAAAAATACATAAGACATGCGATACACATTTTTTTCAAATGAGTGTGTACAGTGTTCCCCTTTTTCAAAAAGTAATGATATAAAATTGATTTCGCAGTAGTCGTGTCGACTTCTTCATTGACTCCCAAGTCTCTCTCTTTTTTATAAAAAAAAAAAAAAAAATTAAATTAAAAATTTAAAATTAAAAAAAAAATGGCAATCTAAAGATAGCATAAGAAGTGAGTGGCCATTCGATGGCAAACAGAACTCAGAAAAAGAACAAACAAAAATACATAATATTAGTATAAAATATATAATTTTATTTCTGAATCACAAATTACCATAATTCTTAACATTTGTCATAAAATACATAATATTTATCACAAAAATACATAATAATACCTGTGATACACGCTTGTTTTTCAAATGGGTGTGTACAGTGTGCCCTTTTTCAAAAAGTAATGCCGAGATATTAATGACTGACTTTGCAGTAGCCGTGTCGACTTCTTCATTGACTCCCAAGTCTCTCTGTTTTTAAAAAAATTAAATTAAAAAAAAAATTAAAAAAATATGGCAATCTAAGATAGTATAAGAAGTGGCCATTCGATGGCAAACAGAACTCAGAAAAACAACAAACAAAAATCTTTTAACCTTCAAATTTTGGCCATCCATCCATCATGGTCACAAAAATTATTATTATGCTACCAAAATCAATTCAACTTCTCCATGTGTTTGTGGTTGTGGTTGTGCTTTCACTATTATTATTAAACTACATACCTGTTCTTGGACTCTCCTCAGGAGGAGTTGAAGCTGCTAATAAAATCAGGTGCATAGAGAGGGAGAAACAAGCTCTCCTCAAGTTTAAAGAAGCTGCTAATATTCTCTCTTCTTGGGGGAATGAAGAAGATAAGCAAGACTGTTGCAAATGGAGGGGAGTGCATTGCAACAACCACGGTGGTCATGTAACCATGCTCGATCTTCATGACTGGTATTTAAGCGGTAAGATCAGTCCTTCATTGCTTGAATTGCAGCATTTGAAGTATTTAGATCTTAGCGGAAATTCGTTTGAAGGGCGCATCCTAGAGTTAATTGCTTCCTTGAGCAGATTACAAGTCCTCAACCTCCATTCCAATTACTTTGGTGGTCCGATTCCTCATCAGATTGGGAACCTTTCCAACTTAAGGTATCTTGATCTCTCTTTTAATCATCTAGAAGGTCCGATTCCTCATCAGCTTGGGAACCTTTCCAACTTAAGGTATCTTGATCTCTCTTTTAATTTTTATCTAGAAGGTCCGATTCCTGATGCTTTTGGGAACATGATATCCCTTGTACATCTCAATCTCTCTTTTAATCAGCTAGAAGGTGGCATTCCAAAGTCGTTCGTCAATCTAAGTCGTTTACAATCGTTAGAAATGAGTTTCAACAATTTAACAGATGAACTTTCTGAGATTCTTCACCAGTTATCTCGATCTGAGAACTCATTACAGACTTTGAACTTAGCGGGGAATCAACTTAGTGGTACATTGCCTGATTTCACAAGATTTTCATCCTTGAGGGAATTGGATCTCAGTTACAACCAATTGAATGGGCCTATCCGAGAAAGTTTTGGACCACTTCCTAGTCTTGTTCACCTAGATTTGTCTGGAAACCAAATTACTTCGAATTCTTTCCAAGGCATAATCTCTGATGCCCACTTATCAAACCTCTACAGTTTGCAATATTTGGACTTGTCTTTTAACCAACTAGTTTTGAACTTTAGCTCTGATTGGGATCCTCCTTTTCAACTTCGTCAAATAAGCTTGGCATTTTGCAAGTTGGGGCCTTATTTCCCAAAATGGCTTCGAAAGCAAAATAAAATTTCCAATCTTGATATCTCTGGAGCTGGAATTTCAGATACTGTCCCAAGTTGGTTTTGGGATCTATCACCCGAGTTAAATTTTTTAAATCTTTCCTGCAACCAAATCAATGGCTTGTTACCAGATTTATCTTCAAAGTTTACTGATGCTATCGGCATAGATTTAAGTTCTAATCGCTTTACATGTCAAATACCACCACTTCCATCCAATTTAACATTTTTGAATCTCTCCAAAAACATGTTTTCGGGGTCAATTTCTTTCTTATGTGCAATTTCTAGCACTGCAGCTTTCTCCCATCTTGACCTCTCAAGCAACCTATTATCAGGAAGACTTCCAAATTGTTGGGAACATTTGAAAGCACTTGCATTTATCAATTTGGACAACAATAATTTTTCTGGAGCACTTCCTAGCTCAATAGGTTCCCTAAATGCCATTGAAGCATTGCAGTTGCGCAACAATAGTTTCTCTGGGAGATTGCCAAATTCTTTGAATAAATGCGTACAGTTGAAAATTATTGACTTGGCGCAAAACAGATTCACAGGAAAAATACAAGCATGGATAGGGATACGTCTCACAAGGTTAATCGTTCTTAGTCTACGATCCAACAAATTCTATGGAAGCATACCTCAAGATATCTGCTACCTTAACTATATTCAAGTTTTGGACCTCTCTCAAAATGATTTATCAGGAAAACTACCACAATGTTTCAGCAATTTTTCTGCTTTGGTTCAAAGTAATAGTCCGAAAGGAACTACTATTTTCAAATACACTGTATATGAAGGTGTTACGAATGTCTCAGATTTCCTATACTATGAGAGTAATGCATTGGTTCAATGGAAAGGACAAGAGAGGGAGTACGGAAAACAACTGGGACTACTTAAAATGATTGACCTTTCTAGCAACAAATTGACTGGAAAAATTCCTCAGCAAGTTGCGAGTCTTACAGAGTTGGTTTCCTTGAACCTGTCAAGAAACAATTTGGCTGGAAGAATCATCCAAGAGATTGGTCAGATGAAGATGTTGGAAACTCTTGACCTATCTGCAAATAGACTTTCTGGTGAGATTCCTACAAGCCTTGCTGATTTAACTTTTCTTGATGTATTGAACTTGTCAAATAACAACTTGTCGGGAAAAATTCCATCAAGCACTCAATTGCAAAGCTTTGATGCCTCTGCATATTCCGAGAATCCAAAACTCTGTGGGCGTCCCCTACCCAGTAAGTGTCCAGGAGAGGAAACGATTGTGGAACCTCCAATTTCTACTAAAGGGATTCAAGAAGATGAGGACAGATTTATTACCTCAGGATTTTATGTTAGCATGGGGATTGGTTTCACCCTTGGATTTTGGGGAGTTTTTGGCACTATGCTTTGTAACAGTCCATTTAGATATGCCTACTTCAAATTCTTGGACCGCATACAAAATTGGTTCTATGTGACTGCAGTATTGAATATGGCTAGACTACAAAGGAATCTTTAAGGAAAATCGGTATGTCTCACTTCGATTTTGTTACTTCTTGTATTCTTCTGTGTGGGCATTGTTTGTAGGCCACCCTTGTTTACATGTTAAAATCTTCTTTTTAAATTGTAACCAAGAGTTTTTAACTGCAAAGTGCAAGCCTTGGCTTTCTTTTAGTTCTATTTTCTAATCAAAATATTCAAGTCCTATTTTAGTTCAAGTACCTTTGGCTCTGTGCTAAGTTCTATTTCCACATCAATTCATGACCAAGCAATGGTCTGATAGTTACATTAACACATTAGATGTTTAAAAAACCAACTCGTTTTTAAATTTAATTTTCTGGTCAAAGCCCTTTTTTCTTCTTTTTTTTTTTTCTATTTTTGTTCATAAGTTCTCCACTTCTATTGTAATTTTACAAAAGGGTGAATTGCGCTAAAAGTTTTTGTAATTTGAGACTTGTGCCACTTTAATTCCTAATCGTTTAATTGTGATACATTTGATCTTGAATTTTGAATCTCATTCTAAATAAGGACAATTGAAGACACTGTTGCTCCATTTCAAAGGCAAAGTCGTTAATTTGATAAAATATAAACTAATTTGACAGAAAATAAATGTTAAAAAATTATTTTTGAATTTTTAAAAATTATTTCTACCTACCAAAGATAAAATTATATAAAAATAATAAATCTTTTATTTTTTTATCTATATATTTTTTTAAATTAATTTTTAGTGTATATATGGATGATGATTATATAATGGATTGTTGTTTTTGTAGATATTTTTGAATGGTTATATTGTAATAGATAACTGCATTTGTTTTTAATAGATATTTTTTATGGTTATCATATAATTGATAGTTATTAGGCTTTTAATATGTAATCGATACGTTTAATATATAAAATATTTTTAGTTTTGCATTTTTTGATTTAATAGATTGGTTTAATAATGATATCAAAATTGTCGTCATGTTTGACTTTTGAAAAAATTGAAACTAATTTAATGAAAATAAATATAAAAAAAAATTATTTTACAAAATTATTTCTACTCTCCTAAAAGATAAAATTATATAAAAATGATGTGTTATTAATTTTTTTCACCAATTTAATTTTTAATTTCTTAGAATTTTTTTTTTTGAAAAATTGATTCTAAAAATCAATTCAAACGGAATTTTATAATCAAAAAAAATTCAGCATTATTCATTAAAAAAAATGTCATTCCATTTCAAATAACATACAAATTAACCAACTCAAAATAAATTGTATGATGACTTTGTCCTTGAAATGAACCATTTACAAAGAAAACATTTTTTATTATCCTTATTTGAAACAATATTCAAAATTCAGAATTAAATATATCACAATTGAAAAGTTAAGGATCAAAGTGACACAAGTCTCAAACTATAGACACTCGTAGTGTAATTCGCCCTTTACAAAATCAACTAATTGTGTAACAATGTGCTCAATGAAATGGTCGCTTATGCTTCTTTCTTTTTTTTCAAGCCTAATAACTGAAATTAAGGTGCTCTTTTATGCAATGATTTTGCAGCTCTTCTATGGACACAAAATTCGATCACAGAATCAGATACAATCCTTTCATATGGGATGATAAGATGCAGATTTTTAATGGATTCCATCTCATAATTATATCTAATTTTATGATCAGATTCTAAGCATTTAGATTTTTCCATGATTCCAAATAACTCCTATTTACAAACTATTAATGGCTGCCCAATATTTGTTTTGCTTTAAATGATAATTAATATTGTTCAACTTTTTTTTTTTTTTGGTTGCTATATTTTCAAGGGAAGCTGCCACACACAAGACATGAGCTTGTGATGGTGAGTTCGTGGTAAACGAAGTGGAGTTGCTGGTACCATCTTTGCTTAGGCCCTCTATTTCTTTCTCGAAGGATGTAGCTACTTAAATAAATAACTCAAGTGTGTAATTTAATTATTTTGGGTGTTTTGAAGGACTCCAATCTTTTGTTTTGGATTATCAGTGTTGTCAATAGTTATGGCATTGGCATGGATGGGATAATATACATCACAGTATGACTATCTCATGCTCGTTTTCTTATTTATTTGTTTTTTATAGATACATCGGAATTAAAAGAACCAAACTGGGACTAAGCCCTTTCCCTAGCTAAACCCACCATGTCTGAAACCAGGAGAGCTCTGATTTCTGCAGGTGGGTCATTAACAACAAGCATATCCTCAGGTTGATCTGCCCCGAGCTTGGCCAATGCGTCTACACATAGATTACCTTCTCTGTAGACGTGTTGTGTAGTACATTGACATCCATTGAAAATTATTCTTGCATCTTCCACTAAGCCTATGAGAAGATGCTTTCCCTCAATTCTACAAGCAATTTCACCACTTCCTCCACATCTGTTTCGATAGTCACTTTGTTGAAGCCCTTTTAGAGGATAATGGTAAGGCCTTTGTACATAGCCCATAGCTGTGTCTCAAGGCTGGTACAGTTTTCTAGTCTGCCATAGAAGCCACAAATCCATGCTCCCTTTTCATCTCTAATCAGTCCTCCAAAGCCTCCAGGTTTGGCAATTCTGTAGCATCCATCAATGTTCATCTTGAGGGTACCTGAAGGAGGAAGCATCCACTTGATTAGCATAAGTGTTGATCTTGGGTTAGTAACAGACATTCTAAAAGCTTGGTTAATTTCTCTGGAAAAAAACTGATAAATTTGACACTCTCAACAACGCTAAGAGTTTTGTTTTCAAAAATTTTTGACATTCTACTTTTCCAAATTTGCCAAAGAACAACTGAAAACACAATGTACCAAGGAGTATTGTTACCAATACTGTTTCTTTTTTAAGTTACTTAAAATCCAGTTCCTCCAAGATGAATTTCTCATCTCTAGGTACCAATTTTTAGCTAAAACAACCATCCACACAGCCTTAGCATTAGAGCAGTTTCTAAAAAGATGATCCAAATCTTCCAACTCATTGCAAAAAGGGCAAGATGGTTTTCAGTAACCCCCTCTTCACCCTCATACAATTAGTTAGAAGCTTTCCATGAAGCACAACCCAAAGGAACCACTTAATCTTTTGGGAAAGTTTGCATTTCCAAATCCACTGCCAATTTTCGCTTTGTTCATCATGTTCCATAAACAAACTATAAGCACTGGATGTTGAAAAGCAACCATCCGGAGATCCCTTCCAGTGTGGTTGATCAGTATCTGAGTTGTAAAGAGGGGGGTTTTCTTTAATAATAGCTTCAGCTACACTGGTTGGGAAACTCTGGTTAATAGTATTTACATCCCAATCACCTTCTTCATTAAGGAGAGAATTCGCCTTGATCAACTAAGAACCAACATTGGGGGGGATTAGGGAGTGGGGAATAGTATGTTCCAGTGGTTGGTCACCACGCCACCACACCACCAATCACTCCACAGATTGACACTAGAATTGGCACCAATGGACCATTTAACCCATTTTTTTCAAGATGTTCTTAGATTTTTGCTATACTTCTCCACATATTAGAAGTCTTCTTTCTTTTATTCCAATTGCAAAGATTGGAATTTTTGAGATATTTGGCTTGAGAACTTTAATCCACAAGCTATTCTCATTATTAAGAATTTTCCATCCAAGTTTGGAGAGCAGGGCAACATTTTGCTCACTAGCTTTCTTGATTCCTAGCCCCTCAAACTTTTTGCTCTTACACACATCATCGCATTTAACAAGATGAATTCTCGTCCTATCCACAGTATCCCCCAGAGGAAATTTCGATTAATACGATCAATACGATCAATATTACTACACACCCTCTTGAGGATTGCCATGGTTTGCATGGAATATGTTGGTATTGCAGATGTAACAGATTGAATCAAAGTTGTTCTTCCTGCCATAAACAAGATTTTCATCTTCCACCCAGCCAACTTGCTTTGCATTTTCCCAAAATAAAGTTAGAATGGCTACGATTAGCTTTTTGATGTAAAATAGGTACTCCCAGATACTTCCCCAAATCAGAAGTAATAGGAATATTACATATACTACTCAACTCCCTAGCCTTTCTTCTGTTAATGTTAGGTGATACAAAAAGCTTCGATTTCTGGAAATTGATTTTAAGTCCAAAAATTGAGCTAAACTCTTCCATAACTTCAGCAATCAAGTCACAATTTCTAGAATTAGCCTTGGCAAATAAAATAAGATCATCTGCAAAGAAAAGGTGAGTAATGCAAGGTCCACCCTTTGCAATTGTTACACCCTTCCAACTTTTCTTTTCAGCCAAATGGCTAATCATGTTAGAAAGCCTTTCTATACAAAGCACAAACAGATAAGGGATCCCCTTGTCTTAGACCCTTCATGGGTCTAAACTCCTCTAAAGCTTCCACATTCCACAAAATAGAAGATTGCACAGTAGTGACACATAACATGATGAGTTCAATACACTTCTCATTTAGATTAAACTCATGAAGAGTTTCTCTAAGAAAATTCCAGGATATGTTATCATAGGCCTTCTCAAAGTCAATTTTTATGACCATACTACCGTCTTTACCTTTCATATGTCCCATACAATGAATAGCTTCTTGCTTAATGATAATGTTATCACTGGTATTCCTACCAGGGATAAAGCTACTCTGATTAGGTCTCACAATATTATCGAGGAGAGGTCTAATTCGATCCACCAAAATTTTTGTAATGACTTGGTAGGTCACATTACAAAGACTGGTGGGTCTGAATTGTTTAACTCTCTCAGGGCTATTGACTTTAGAAATTAGTGCAATCAGAGTTCTATTGATCTCCTTAGAAATAGAGTTGTTATCAAAGCAATTTTTAACAAAGGAACACACATCAATACCAACAATACCTCAGTACTTGTGGTAGAAGATAGCCTCCCAGGAGCTTTAAAGGCTTTACTATTGTTCATAGCCTTCTTGATCTCAGTATGAATGATAGCCCTATTTAAGTCTCTATTATCCTCCTCATACAACTTAACAATAGCTTTATTACACCAGTGGTCTAAAGAGTTGGCAATAGGATTATCAAACAAAATTTTGAAAAAGTTTAGGACCAGGTTTTTGAGCTCAGAGGGGTCATCAATCCAAACATCATTATCATTTTTAAGAACCTCAATTTTAAGTCTTCTTCTCTTGATCAGAGTAGTAAGACGAAAAAATTTGATGTTACGATCCCCTTGAGTGATCCATTTGGATCTAGATTTTTGAAACCAGGGCAGCTCCTCCTGATAGAGGATTTGATTACATTGGTCAATTCAGGTTGTGTGTGTGCATTCTAGCTTGGGATTTTGGATCCCTTCAATTCTGCCAAAAAAGCCATATTTTATTTCTGAAAATATTTCCAAAAACATTTTTATTCCAGTCCAAAGCAGTAATGGCCATATTATGTAATTTATCAAGGAGGTCATTATTAGAGTGATCTCAATTAGAATTAACTACATCTCTGAAGCCCTCATGAGCAATCCAAGCAGCTTCAAATGTAAACTGCCTATTAAGAGGGTTATTAGGAAGCTTGCCTTGGGTGCAGACTAGCATAGGTGAATGGTTGGAGTATTCTGGGTAGGTTGCGAGCAAAGCCTTCTGGAAAACGGGTTCTCCATTCCGCATTGTAAAGAGCCCGATCAAGGCGAATAAGAGTTTTTTCCCAACCTTGTCTGTTGTTCAACCAAGTGAGGCTAGGGCCAGTGTAGCCTAGATCCATTAGGTTGCAGTTGTCGATGTGGGTCACGAACTTTCGACTGCGGCTTTGACTTTGGTTAAGGTTTTGGTTTGTAGAGAAGCTTCGCTTTTCCTCTAGACCAGTATGGTCATTGAAGTCTCCAGCTAGTAGCAGGTGGCATATGATTATTATGTGCTATGTCTTCTAAGCTGTCCCAGAGTTCATCTCTGGTTCTAGGATTGGGGCTAGCATACACAGCAGCGAGCAGCCATTAAAGGTAGTTTTATCTGGAAATGCTGGAAAAGATCATTTCGGAGTTAGCTTCAGAGACCCTAACATTGACTTAGGTTGAGTTCCATAGCATTTAAATCCTCCACTTCTTCCGATTGGGTCCACGTGTGCAGATGCTGTGAATCCACGGCTGTTGAAGAACATGTCCATTAAGCTTAACTCCACATTTGTTTCCATTAGGACCAAGATATCTGGTTTGTGTATAAAGACCAGTTCCTTCATACTTCTTCTGAACTTGTTATTTCCCGCCGCCCCATGACAGTTCCGAAAAAAGCATATCCGTAACAGGCATTTGGGTTATATTTGGGATTGGGGAATTTAGAATATTCCTAACTCCATGATGGTTTTCTTCCATAGGAAGCTTGAATTTCACTATTACTAGGTGCCAACTCTAGCTTGCTTCGAAATGCCACGACAATTGAATCTTTAATTTCACCTCCTCTATCCAGCAATCTAAAGCGACGAGGTGAGAGGCTTCATTCCCTTGTTCCAGGCATAGCATCACTCTGTTTTCTGAAGCTCTATGGTTGATTGTGTTCTTCAGACGTTCTTCTATCTCCATTTTCTCGGTTGGAGTCTCTTCTCCCTCTATTTTTGGGTTTAGCTTTGTCTGGGGGTTCTTTGCTAGCTTTAGGGTTTATTGCTTCAAAAGATGTGTTTGAAATGACAATCTGCTTGCTCAGGCCTTGAGTAGTTGTGTCAATGACAGTGTGATTTGAAACCCCTGTGTTTGTTGCATCCTCATTGGCCATTTTTTTGCTTTCTCTGATGACCTCGTGCATCTTTATCTCTTACAATCCAATCCATCTTAGGAATTTGACCTGCTATTTTCTCTCCTAGGTTAACGGCCTTTTGTTTGTATTTGAACCGTATTTCTGTGCTTTTCATCTCTAATTTACGACTTCCCTAGTCTACTTGGGCTTCAGGACGATTACCATGTTGTGGTTCATCGTGTGAGTATCGTATCGTAGGGCTTCAATTTTGTTTCTTGGGGTGTTGTTTGGTTGTCTCTAGGCCTTGGGCTTTCTTCCTTGCCTTTTTATATTTTGGACTATCTTCCATGGGCCAAAGCTGGGCCCAGTAGCTTCCTTATTATTTCCATT